ATATATATATATATATATAATATATATATATATATATATATATATATTATATATATATATATATATTATATATATATATATATATATATATATATATATATATATATATATATATATATATATATATATATATATATATACAATTATAACGCACTAAATTGCATCGAGACGTGAGGGAGGGGGGGTGGTAGAGGACTCGCCGTGAGGGAGGGGGCTGGTAGAGGCCTCGCCGGGGGGGGGGGGGGGGTAGATGTGGAGTATTTACCAATCAGGCATTTATTTGTCTTTTAATTTATTTGTTTACTGAATTTTCTTTAATATATTAGTATTAATTCAAAGTGGACTGTCTGTAAAGTTAATCCCGCGAGGTGTTTACTTATATACCTTTTTTTTTGGGGGGGGGGGGTTAAACACATAGCCACAAATATATATCTATACCACAAATAGTAGATATAATAAGCTACACATTTACTGTCAGTACTACAGCTAAAATGGGTTAGTTAAATGTTGTTATTTCTTATCTGTTAAGTTGTTATAGCCTAATAATAGGCCCATTCTCAGACACCAACGGTGGTGGTGTACGGGGCGAGCACTAATGGTGGCCGTTAAGGCCTCTTGTTGTGCCACCATGACTCCACACAATGCTGCTTCCTCTCTTCTCAACATCACCTGCCAAGTTATTTGTCAGTAGTAAACTCTCGATTGATGATTGATTGATGAAGATTAAGCCACCCAAAAGGTGGCACGGGCATGAATAGCCCGTAAGTGGTGGCCCTTTTGAGCCATTACCAGTATCAAGAGCTGATACTGGAGATCTGTGGAGGTGCGACTGCACCCTACGTGATGGGAGATGTCTCCCGTGAGTCAACTCTCACTACTAAACACAACATATAGCAAGCAACAAATCTATATTATAACACGAGAGCTTACCCGTTCTGGTGGTGTTTTCTCGGCCGTTATAACCGGGCTACACCACATACAATTATTATGGTCAATATAAATTATATATTCTACTAATAGACCGGTTGATCGGAGACTGTGGTTCCTATGTCACCAAGTTGGCGGGCAGTGTGACGGACACGTGTTCACTGGTCAGCCCGAAGTGTCAGCAAGATGGAGACTGCTGTCATTTCTCGAGGGGCTGCTCAATAGCTGTGTTGCAATTGCCACTGGATGGACATTAACGTAACGAGTCACTCTCTGTAGTGTAACTTAGTCGGTGATATTTTTTTGATTTGCAATATTGCGTCATCAGTGGGCACACCTGTGTTCAGGTTAGTTCAGTATGCAGCCGCACAGTAAGGGTTGCTATTTAGCTGTTTGTTATCGTGCCACTGGATGGACATTAACGTAATGTAAACTCATGACCACCACCACTTTGTTTACATTGACCAGCTGCTGCCGCACCCCCCCCCCCCCCGGCACCCGCCTCTCCCGCCAAAAAACGATTCTGTTCTCTGACTTATTAACTTAGGGAAGTAGACTTTAGTTTTGTTGATAATTATATTATATCCAGTTATAGAGAATACTTTTTTATTAAGTTTAATCCCTAGACCTTCAGTTTAAAGATGTTTGTGAGGCTTAAATGAATGGTTTTTTAATTCGCGGATTTCCCGTTCTCTATAAAAAAAATTATAACCAATGTTAGTATGTTAATATTTAACTAGTATAGCCGTGTTAGCTGCTTATATTGGGTGTTAGTAATCAAGTGTTGGAATTTCTGACAGTAGATGCCTCGCCGTGAGGGAGGGGAGACGAGTGAGAGGAGAGGTTTTCAGGCGGGATCCAAGAGTCAATGCTCGATCCTGCAGACACAACTAGGTGAGTACAGGCTACAGTGAACCTCCTCACAGCCTCGCCTTGTAAACTGTTGTCTCTTAAATATTAAAAATAATATTATAATTTGAAAAAAACATGAAGCGCTCCGGGCCGTTATTTAAGATAGGCTTCCACCAAATCCTGGAGTTAGAAAACGAATATTTGGTCATGCGACTTGCATGCTTATCAAGATATCGACAATACTTTGTAACCAATTGAGCATTAAGTATGAACACGGTGGGCGCTCTGTGGCATAGTGTGGGCACTCAGTGAAGACACTGTGCAACAAACTCCATTAGGTACCTTTGAGATCACAAATACATTCATTGTTAAAGTGGCCATTAAACAGAACTCTGCAAGCTGCTCCGACGCCGTTGCAAGCCAACTTTAAGATGCTCTCTCCTTAGAGCTGTCAACAGACTAACCCTCATCTTCAACACATCTTTGTACAGATCAAAGTGGAGACCAACGCGTTACCCTGAGATCCTCAGTGATCACACAGTAGGTCAGCAGTGACCACACAGTAGGCCAGCAGTGACCACACAGTAGGCCAGCAGTGACCACACAGTAGGCCAGCAGTGACCTCACAGTAGGCCAGCAGTGACCACACAGTAGGCCAGCAGTGACCACACAGTAGGCCAGCAGTGACCACACAGTAGGCCAGCAGTGACCTCACAGTAGGCCAGCAGTGACCACACAGTAGGCCAGCAGTGACCACACAGTAGGCCAGCAGTGACCACACAGTAGGCCAGCAGTGACCACACAGTAGGCCAGCAGTGACCACACAGTAGGCCACCAGTGACCACACAGTAGGCCACCAGTGACCACACAGTAGGCCAGCAGTGACCACACAGTAGACCATCAGTGACCACACAAACGGGTCTGTGTGTGTGTGTCTGTGTGCTAATATTATATCCGCTGGTATGCCTGCTAGCAAATAGTTTGACAACAGATGGAGAGTGTGATGCCATCAAGCAGGTGCCTCAGACTGCTGGCCAGCAGTAAGTGTAGAGTCATCAGTACAAACGTTGCCATGGAAACAACAGTTCTCCATTACACTCCAGCTGCAAATGTATATTTTTCAATCCTCCGAAAGCAGAAGAGAAAAATGAAGAGCAAGTCTGGTTCCTATGTATTGTTGCTCTGCCGTAAAAATGTCTGTGTCTCCTTCTCATTACGAGAGAGGGAAGAGACCTGCCGCGTGCCTCAGATTCTGTACATAAATAACTTTACAGTGATGAAGAATTTGGGATGCGTTTTCACAGTTCTAATATATATATATATATATATATATATATATATATATATATATATATATATATATATATATATATATATATATATATATATATATATATATATATATATATATATATAAAATGGAACGAAAGTTCTGAACGTGTTCGTATTTCAAGACATTATTAAGGAAATACAGGATAATGTATCCTGTATTTCCTTTACTGAACCTAGAATTGCAATATGCCACATAAATTACTACAAATGTTTGGGCAATTTCCTGTTCTTCAAGAAATCACTTACTATATATATACATGTATATATACACAGTTTATGAATACATGTAAACCATATGAACTGTAAGCGTAGCAGAGGGTGCGTGGGCGGACTGGTGACTGTGCTGGCGAGGATTTCAGAATGTTCCACAGTTCAGATTATTGTGTCATCACAGAGCGGGAAATCAGTAATAATAGTAAGAATCCGTCTTGCCTACAAATACCCATGGAGACTCGGGATGGAAACAACAGCTGAGCAGCGGAGTTGCAGAATTTGTGGTGAGTGACGGACACCGCCTTGACCACTACCTGAGACAATGTAAACATTTAAGAGACATTAGAAATGTGTGTGTGCCAAATTGACCAACTGCAGCAATTGGTGTAAAATATGTAAAAACATATTTTACATCTGACTCACAGCTGATTATTTTGGAAGTGGTTCGCTGTTGTGATGGTTGGCGGGCACCTCTGTAATGCACCAACCACGTTCTCTAACTACAAATGATTGCCAAAAGATCTAAGTACTTAACCTTAAGTCACCATAGGTCTAATTATACGCAAAATTATTATGTATAGTATTATTTAATTTATATTTAAGAAAATACCATTTTTTATTACACTGTACAATCAAATAAGGGCCACAGCCTGGACGAGCAGAGTCTGATGATCGGTTGTGAACAGCTATGGGCAGTGGTTCGACTCCTTGGTACTTTAAATCACCTAATGACGACCTGAATTGTATTGAGTATTGTTCTCTCTCTCTCTCTCGAGGCCTCACTCCTCTCATCTTTGGTGCGGACCAAAACTTTACTCATGTTTGGCAGGAACTTCAGAACCCCTGATCACTGTGCCAGCGCTACTACAGAGCCGGAAGCTCTGTAGTAACGTGTTGGGTTTCAAAATAATTAACATGGCTATACAGGTGTAGCCATAGCGACCTACCCAGGCTTTGCGCCCTGGAGAGGGGGAGGACCTGCTGCATGGGTAACAGCTTCTCCTCCATATTGACCTACCCTGGCACTGCGCCCTGGAGAGGACACTTCAGCCTCGACATCCCGAGTGCAACTCCATAGTCTTCCGTGACTGCAGGATGCCTCCTACTACTACTACTACTACTACTACTTCTACTACTACTACTACTATTACTACTACTACTACTACTATTACTACTACTACTACTACAGGGTCTCCACGACACACTGCCCTAAGTGTTCGTGAATGAAGAACACCTAATACAAAACTTAGAAAATTAATAGGTATAACCTCATGGGGAGAAGTGAGTCTTATGTTCACCCACACTAAATACTTCATTAAATATGTTAACGAATACGACTTTTGGAGAGGACAGCATCTTGGATGAGCCTGACATGAGGAGGGTAGTCAAGAATATAGTCACCCGCCACATATGTTCACCATCCGGCACGTAAGTCACCATCCGGCATGTAGGTCACCATCCGGCATGTAGGTCACCATCCGGCACGTATGTAAGTGCAGGTCGGCGGGGACCTCGAGACTAAACGCTCCTGCAGGCTGTATATGACCGGTGATCCACCAAACCTTCACTAGCTTGGTAGGTGAAGAACAGGTCGCCTGGTCATGAAGAACCACGAAGAACAGGGGGGCCAGACCACGAAGAAGGTATCAGCAAGTGAGGCAGGGGCGGAGGTAGTCAGCGGGGGCGCCTGCCACCAGTCCTCGGCCCTGCTGACGGATGTAGAGGCAGGTGACATGTGTCTTGTGGAGGAGGGAGCGTCTGCTGGAGAGGAAGGCGTTCACCTCGGACACTTGGTACCGGTGTCGTGGGCCCGGCTGCACCACCGCCAGCCGCACTCTGGGGACACAAGCAACTCCTTAGCTCTAGTTCTCGTGAAATTCTTTGGGGGGACTTGCTGCCTGGGTAACAGCTTCTTCCCCGAATCAACCTACCCTGGCTTTGCGCCCTGGTGAGGCCACTCCAGACCGACAACCAGAGCGCAACTCCATAGTCTCCTGAGACTGATGGATGCCTACTACTACATTTAAAAAAGGTAATGCAGTTTCTTTTATTATTAACTAGCTGTGTACCCAACGGTACCTGGGGTGACCTCTAAAGGGAGCTCCATTTAAGAGTTGCGTTCCGGGTTGATCCGGTAATCTACAGGTGGCACCAGGGGCCGCCACCGACCCGTTCATGTAGTATATATAATCTACGCCAAGGAGGCGTAAATCCAAGAACCTGGAAAGACTCTGGTGTAAGATAAGTGGGTGGCAATTTCGTTGGGGTTGCCATGGGAGCCGATTGCCTTTTAATGAGAGCAATTGGGCCAACCATGATCCGCCCACGTTGGTCACTTACCCTACAGTAGTCACCATGCAAAGTTGGGTGAGGCTAGCCCCAAGCGTCTGGCCTCTAACTTTAGAGAGACAGACGGTCTCTTTAATATATATATATAGAGATGTACATTTATGGATACGTAAATCATATCTAACGCTACTGACTATTCAGACAGCCGTACATAACACCACTCTCAGATACGTTAACTGCCCAACACAGTATACAGAACATTGGACTGTAAGGTGACGTATTTTGCATTGACCTGGTTAAGTGGGAATGATTTCTGTCTATGGAACACGGTGCATTATTAAGGTGAGGGAACCTGTGTCAGTGATGACCTGCAGTGTAACCTATCACTGTACTCTCAGTATGTGTGCACTCACCTATATGTGCTTGTTGCAGGGGAGTGGCGTAGTGCCTGGGTCGTATCTTTCACTCGTCTATTACAATCACCCCCGACCCTCATGTCATACACCACCTCTTGGTGCTCTGTACAGCGTTACCCTCAACTCCTTCCCCTTATTACTTGCTCTGCTCTTACAGTGAAGTGTTTGATTACATTGCTGCGACTCGTGTGATCTTCCAGTTCCCACCCGTACCCTCTCACTGTGCTCATGTTCATGTTCAACACTTCTCTTCTCTCCACTTTGTCCATGCCTAAAGAACTCCCTTTGTTCAAGGGAGTTCAACTTCCCTCATCAACTCATCAAGGCGCAACTTATCATTCTCTCTCTCATTCTCTCTCTCTCTCTCTCTCTCTCTCTCTCTCTCTCTCTCTCTCTCTCTCTCTCTCTCTCTCTCTCTCTCTCTCTCTCTCTCTCTCTCTCTCCTTCCAGTGCTGAGCCACAGTCCATAGTGAACTCACTTGTCTTTAACTGCGTGGTTCAGGGTGTTGGGGTCGGACTCCACGGTGCCCACCGTCTTGTACGCGAACTGACCTGCGAGAGAATGATTGATGAAGATTAAGCCACTCAAGAGATGGCACGGGCATGAATAGCCCGTAAGTGGTAGATATTTGGAGTGAATGTGATCTGGACCTGCAAACACACACAGTTATATGTATGGATGTATGTAGTGTTGCTGATGGCTCGCCGCTGCTCCGCACTCTCGTACTGTAAATATAAAGTGTGCACTTACCAAGTTCTCCTCACACAGTCTACCTTTAGTTCTTGGGCCCGGCATTTCAGATGACATTCTTTTCATGCAAGCATTCTACACGTCTGTGTCTTGGATCTACTCTTGGAATGTGTTGTATGGCACTATCCGAGACTTCTGCCTCTTCTGGCGCGCTTTTAATGTTCTCGCGGTGAAACCGTGTTTCTTCACATCGTCTGTGCCTCTAGCCTCCATCCATGGCGGCTTATCTGTATCTCTAGCCTCCATCCATGGCGGCTTATCTGTGCCTCTAGCCTCCATCCATGCCGGCTCATCTGTGCCTCTAGCCTCCATCCATGCCAGCTCATCTGTGTCTCTAACCTCGATTCATGCCGGCTCATCTGTGTCTCTAGCCCCCATCCATGCCGGCTCATCTGTGCCTCTAGCCCCCATCCATGCCGGCTCATCTGTGCCTCTAGCCCCCATCCATGCCGGCTCATCTGTGCCTCTAGCCCCCATCCATGCCGGCTCATCTGTGTCTCTAGCCTCTATCCATGGCAGCTCATCTGTGCCTCTAGCCATCATCTATGGCGGCTCATCTGTGTCTCTAGCCTCCATCCATGGTGGCTCATCTGTGCCTCTAGCCATCATCCATGCATAAATATAAGCAGTTAGCGAGTGGAGCGAGGTGTACTCTGGAGCCAGGCATCCTGTACTATGATGAGAGAGGTGCAGATGTCTTTGTAACCATTCAAGAGATGGATATATTGGGCAAGGCTTAATGATGAGGTTTCTAGAGAGTTTGGCTTGTCTCTTGTCTCTTGAGAGTTTGGCTTGTCTCTTGTCTCTTGAGAGTTTGGCTTGTCTCTTGTCTCTTGAGAGTTTGGCTTGCCTTTGATGTTGCTCTTGGTGTTAAAATAAATACAGTGTTCGTTAATTATGATATAAAAAAGCATAAAAATTGTTTCATGATTCTTACAGGATTATCATGTAGACTTATCCCTGAGGGCTAGACTACTGCTAGTATGGGTCATGTCAGTATGAGCAAGGAAACTTACCAATGATTCCGGTGGTGTTGGGCGAGAGGACGCGGTGGTTCTCCAGGTAGAAGCCCAGGAAGACCTGTCCCAGCTTGTTCCTGGTGCGGGTCACCAGCAGGTTGGCGTCCACGTCTCCCAGGAGCAGGTCCAGCTTCCTGTGGTTCCTCAGCGCCATCACCACATCTCCGTACCTGTAGTAACACACCCACACAGTTCCAGGCCGGGTCTTCTAGCTCACGGGTCAGGTGTGTGTGTGTGTGTGTGTGTGTGTGTGTGTGTGTGTGTGTGTGTGTGTGTGTGTGTGTGTGTGTGTGTGTGTGTGTGTGTGTGTGTGTGTGTGTTGTGTGTGTGTTGTGTGTGTGTTGTGTGTGTGTTGTGTATGTGTGTGCGCGCGTGCGTGCATCCGTCCTCTTACAAATTACGTTGCTTTTCGCTCGTATGTGCACTTAGGCTAAAAATCGACGTAATTCAAAATTAAATCGGCTCACGAAAGTGACGTACTGTCCCGTTTTCTGTTTTGGGTCCTCTGGCTTAGGCTGTTAGGTGTGGAGAGGAAACTTTCAATTAACGGTTTTCATGACGTTTTGAAACCTTAGGAGAGCTTCCTGCCCTCCTAACCTATCAGGGGATCCTGAACTTGCTGTTTTGGAGGAAAAAAATCCAAAATTTAATTAGAAAATAAATTATCATTTTCAATTACGTTGACATTTGGCCGTAGGGCAAACGGGCGAAAAGCGACGTAATTTGTAAGAGAACGGGTTGATGCCTGGCAAGTAATCTGTGAAGCATCTTACCTTCTCCCAGCTGCCTTCTTCCAGCTGAAGGTCTTACTACACTCCCCTGTCAGGTCTTCTTCCTTCTGGTGGGCTGGTGCGCCGTCATTCACCGAGTCTCTCTCCTGTGACCTGGGAACCTCCGTGGTCTGGGTGCTCAATGTTGCAGCATTACGATCTTCAGACACCGGATATAACATCCTTGTGTCGTGGCTACTGTCACCTGGTCGTGGCTGTGTGTTCTCCCCAGAGTTCTGAGCAGCGCGATCTAGAAAGTAAGGGAGAAGCTTGATTCTGGATTGTGGGTGGATGAGGGTGGCAGCCTGTGGATGGTGGTGGTCGAGGTGGGAGGCGTGGGTGGAGTCTCTGGTCGGCCGCGTCAGAAGCGCTACGCCAGCCGCTGGACTTGGGTTCGCATCTTCCTGCGTGCCTGTGAGTGTCTTCAGAGCGAGCTGATGGATGTGGCTTGCGACACTTAGAGGACTCTGAGAGTGGACTGTGTATGCCTGCGTGTGGTCGTGCTTGAGAGAGTGATGTGGGTGGAGGCGGGTGCTGGCAGTGTGTGGGCGGGCAAGGTCGGGTGCACTCCAGCTCTGTGGAAGGCGAGTGAAGGATTGAGGATGAACTACATTACCGACATGTCGCCGATATCTTGCTCTTGTTATGTTGCCATGACAGTGTCTCTTGTCGTGTCTCTGTTGAGGCTTGAGTGCCCTCGTCGTGCTGGGGCTGGAGGAGCGGGCGTGTCTGCGGTGCTGAGGGCGCTCTGACCGCTTCCTTCTCCCCCCCGCCCGCCGCCTCGCAGACTTTCTCCTCCCACGAGGTTTCTTAACACGCCGACCGCTCCCACCCCGATGGTTCCTCTTCTTGAAGGGCCAGAGCGTCGTGGAGACCCGGTCCACCTGTCCGGGAAGCAGCACGTTAAACATTGTTCAATGGTCATAACATTCACTCATGATTATTTCTGTTCCTTCTTGCAACACTGATGGGGTCTGAAATTATTGTTTTGTTATATATATATTTATGATATAGCTCGAATTATTAAATCTTAGATGTAAATAATAGAAAAGAGATAATTTCTTGTGTTCTACACAGCCTCATTATTGTGTTTGTTCCTTTCTCTCTAAACTAAGTAGTAAATGAATAATTCCTCTTACACCATAACAACGAGGTCACTTACGCAGTATAAATAAAAATGCTCACGTTTCGGGTCAGGTGTATCATCATGGCACAACTTTTCAACAAAAAGAATCAAACCAGATGAGATAGGGCTCTGTGGTCCAATAGGATAACAGAGTTAGGTAAAGTTAAGATCGTTTAAGTACTTCTTGTGCGTGCTCGGCGCGTCTTCCCTCTCTACAGTACTGTGTAGACTACCTCGTCTGTCAGTCACCGAGAACTGGCCTCGAACCCTCCATCCCAGTCTATTTTCTCCGGGAACTTAGACTTTTTGACACCCTCCGTCAGCAGGATGCTCACCTCCTCCTCCTCCTCCTCCTCCTCCTCCTCCTCCTGCTCCACCGTCAGCAGGATGCTCACCTCCTCCTCCTCCTCCTCCTCCTCCTGCTCCACCGTCAGCAGGATGCTCACCTCCTCCTCCTCCTCCTCCTCCTCCTGCTCCACCGTCAGCAGGATGCTCACCTCCTCCTCCTGCTCCACCGTCAGCAGGATGCTCACCTCCTCCTGCTCCTGCTCCACCGTCAGCAGGATGCTCACCTCCTCCTCCTGCTCCACCGTCAGCAGGATGCTCACCTCCTCCTGCTCCTGCTCCACCGTCAGCAGGATGCTCACCTCCTCCTGCTCCTGCTCCACCGTCAGCAGGATGCTCACCTCCTCCTGCTCCTGCTCCACCGTCAGCAGGATGCTCACCTCCTCCTGCTCCTGCTCCACCGTCAGCAGGATGCTCACCTCCTCCTGCTCCTCCTGCTGCTCCACCGTCCATGCCATCATTACCATTACATATTAAACATCTTGAAGTTCAGAGGCTGAGGAAACTAACCCTGGGGGAGGGGACTAGCCCCCGGCGGTGGGGAAGGGGGGAAGGAACTAGCACCTGGGAGAGGAATAGGAAGGAGGACGAGGTTAGCAGGAACAGTTTTTTTTTTGGGGGGGAGGGTATCCGGGAAAACTATCCTGTCATTCAGAAATGATTACATCTATGACATATATGGCGACTATGACATCCATGGCGACTATGACGACTATGGCGTCATAGTGGGTAATCTCACGCACACGCCCCAGACAATCCTCATTGATACATCACGCAGCTCTACATTACTCTACATTACTCTAGTGTATTTGTGAGACTTTCTATGTTTATATTCAATGTGCTATGATACTTCTCTTGTTGAGAAGTGTTGAGAGTGAAGAGGGCCGTACCGTGGGGTCTCCAGCGTCGTCAAGACAGTCTACGGTGATGTGGGTGGGCGTGACGGTGAAGTTGACGGTGCCCAGGGAGATGAAGATCTTGGTGAAGTACGTGGCCCCCGCCCGCCCAACCGCCGCCGTCACCAACCCGTTCACCAGGATTCCTGCCGCCCACCGATCCAAGCAATAACAATAATAACACAATTATAACGTTCACAATTTTGCATCTATACATAGACCAGAATCAACCAATATACAAGACACAATTTCATTACACCTTCGTCATTGCCAGCATGACTGTGGCTGCCGCAGTGACTTGTCACCAACGTGTTGACATGTCCTCACATGTAATTGGATTTAGGATAAAAACCCACACACGTGAATATGTGAAATTTATGTAAGGAATTTACACCAAGTCGTTCGCACTCTCCTGAGTGCTTTGTCAAGATCTGAGTGTGTGATAAGGACGAGACTTATATCTCAACGGCTAATCATTGATAAGATTAGACGTCGAGATGTAAGTCTTTGTGAAATGGAAAATCTTTGCCTGTGAAGGACTTTGTGTAAATTCCTTACATAAATTTTCACATATACACACGTGTGGGTTTTTATCCCAAGTTATTATGCGTGTGAGAAGACATTACCATTACTAATAACTGGACTTGGTGAGGGCTCACCTGACTCTGGGTCCAGGACCAGGTTGAGGACGTTCCCCGGGGAGCCGTGCAGGTCGAAGCAGAGGGGCAGGTCGAGGCCTGGCACCTGCACCACGAAGTGCGGGTCGTTGTCGCCTGCAAGCATACGAACACCGCCGATATTGACATTGTGTTAGTAAGTTGTGTGTAATAACTACATAATAGTGTAATTGACATAACATTGACATTGTGTTAGTAAGTTGTGTGTAGTAATTTGTGAAGTGTGATTATCACAGAGCTAGTATTGGAGAGGGGGGGGGGCTGCTGCATGGGTAACAGCTTGTCCTCCATATCAACCTACCTTGGCTTTGAGCCCTGGAGAGGCCACTCCAGAGCGCAACTCCATAGTCTCCCGAGACTGACGGATGCCTACTATTTGATTATCCGTCTGTGTTGCTTAAGGCAAGGCTGTAACACTTTGTTACATTTTCGAACCCAGGCGGCGATTGGCTGTCGGCATCGCCTGGGGATCATTCAAGCTTTCCACCTAAATGTACGCTGAGTGCGATCCCAACACGTTTAAGGAATTGATGAAATAACTGTGGCCAGTAATGACTGAGATTGTTGCTGTGTACTGGGAGCATGTTGGTCACAGGCCCGCCAGTACTTACATGCCATGCTGGGGCAGACGACGAGTCACAGTAACGGTAGCTGAAGATATGATGACCAAACACATAAGGACATGCAGAAACGACGATGTTTTGATCCGTCGTGGACCATTATCAAGTCGTGTGTAGCCACTACTATATGTATGTATGTATGTATGTATGTATGTATGTATGTATGTATGTATGTATGTATGTATGTACTGTAGCCAGTAGTAGGCATCCTGCAGTCTCGCAAGTTTCAGTTTCACTTTTGTGACATTTTGGTTACACCAGAGTTTAGTTTAACCAAATTCTGGTGTAGTGGTTACAGTACCCGACAACCACGGGGGTGTGACCCTGGCCGCCTAGGTTCGAATCCTGAAGGGGGCAGATAGAGTTTAGAGTGATATAAACTAGAAAAACAGGCTACTTGTGCAGCATCGAGGCAGGAAGGGAATTATCGGGGGAAAGCGCCAAGTCATTGCGACTATATAGCACTGGGAAGGAGTCAGAATTAGGATTTGGGATGGGACGGGGGGAAGGGATAGTGCCCAACCACTTGGACGGTCGGGGATTGAACGCCGACCTGCATGAAGCGAGACCGTCGCTCTACCGTCCAGCCCCAAGTGGTTGGGCACGAAGAACCATAATAGCCAAAACGAAGAAGTCTTACTTTTATAACAGATATAGAGTGGAGAAGATATTGAGACAATGAAGTGGGCTGGAACTCGTATTCCCTGGCTGCCTACACACAACGATACGAGATCTACCGTAATATATCGCCTCAGTATTCCCCCCAGGATCTATCACCTTACTGAGGTGTCATGGTGTATGTATAGTTATCCTACCATACAGTCTGGTGATGCATGTGGATATTCCTGGTGGATTTACAGCACGGAACACTTACTTCCTCTCCACTTAGCGGATCATGCAGCACTGACGTACACTGCTGTTTATACACAAATTTAGGAACTAAAATGGAAAAAGTCGGGCATAGTTAGAGTGCTTGGATGAGATAAAAGTTTCCTTTGGGAATGGTGTAATTAAAGTTATCGAGAAAGTTTTTGAGATAGAAGTTCTGGGTGATGAATGGAGGTCCCTGGTGCGGGGAAGCTTTTCATTCCTTCATGAACTCCTCAGTCGGTTCCTGAATTTCTTTCGTCATTCTTGTACGAACTGTCATTAATATGTTAAAAAAAACTCCTGTAGGAATGCAGGCGATGAGTCACAATAACGTGGCTTAAGTATGTTGACCAGACCACACACTAGAAGTTGAAGGGACGACGACGTTTCGGTCCGTCCTGGACTGTCGGAAAATCCGACACCATTTAATAATCATACAGATAATAGCTGTATTGTATAAACAAGTTACCCGTAGAAAACGTAACTTGTAGTGGAATTACCGTCTAAAGAAAACGGGATATCATCACCACACACTATTATAATTCACCAGCTATTCTGCTGGGAATTATTCTTTAATACATTAGTCTTTGGACTTTACCATCATAAAAACATCTTATATAAATTAACTTAATTATCAATATTAAAGTAGAGTAAATGTGACCCTTCTATCACTTTCTGAAATCTGGACAAAGTAGGCCAGGCGTCAGGGAGGAAGGAGGGAGCCATTGTTGTGTCACCTCCGAGACGTGTGGAGCAAATTTAGCTCCTATCATATCTGGACAATGTCGGCCAGTAACGTCAATAGTATGGAGTGTTAAACAGCCATTGTGTATATATTTGACCAGAGGCACACGGGAGCAAATACGGCTCCTGTTAAATTTACTTGGACGTAGTGTTATGGAAACCAAAGGTGTACCATTTTTCAACACGCTGTCTACATATCAAGTTAAGTGTCTATCCGAAACCCGTTTATCATTCATTTATGGCCATTAATGTCAGGATATAGGGTGACCCGGTTAGATCACGTGGAAGCCTCAAACTAAAGGTAATTAAGCCAGGTCTTCATGTTCCATGTACAGTTTTCTCTGAAATACTTGTCATATATAGGTTTCTGGCTTCACAGCTAGCGCACTTTTGACAGGTCAAGACGAGGATGGAAGATTTTGTGCACCAGTTACTGGGTGATAGAAGCTACCTCAAAGAGGATAATTTGGTGTCTACACCCTAGTTATACCTGGTGGACTAGCCTGCTGTACTATAAGATAAGGAACCTCTTCAATGTATGTAGTTAACTCTGTAGTTTGATTGGCTGTATATATATTAATTTAATAACCCCCCTAATGTGTAGAGGATCGATTTGTGAGATTATGAGATTATTGCAGAAATACAGTCCACTTATCATTATACAAATTGCTATCGAAGTATATAAATTAACGTAAATATAAATTCTATATATATATTCATATAAATTAAATAAATATAAATCTCACAGGTCGGTTCCCACATGGACCATTCTCAAGTCGATTGTCGACTTGAGAATCGACTTGAGAATGGTCCAGGACGGACCGAAACGTCGTCGTCCTGTAGGAATTCCCGGAGAAAGTTTATCATTCACAATAATACAAAATCTCATAAGAACCTACTGAAGGAGAACTCCTGGCTGGAGGCTGAGGTGCGGAGCCTTGAGCTGAGGGGCTCTGGGAGCGTCTTAAAGAACTCTGATTCGGGGAGAAGAGAGAGTTCCTCGTGTATGTGGGAGGCGATGGCGCCCCCGGTGTTGGACTTCTGGTGGCGGGAGGCGGCAGACTTGAGGCCGGGGTGGGCCCCGTCCTGGGCCTCCTCTGCGTCCACCACTTCCAGGGTGGTCAGCTTCGTCACGAACTTAAACTGTGGCGGGAGGACTTAGTGTGAGCAAGGTGGGGAGGAGGGGGTCAGGCGTTAATGGTCACGGTCACACACACACACACACACACACACACACACACACACACACACACACACACACACACACACACACACACACACGCACACATACACATACACATACACATACACACACACACACACACACACACACACACACACACACACACACACACACACACAGAGTCAGAAATAAAAAAAATCAGTGTCAAAGCTGTCAATAAGCGGAACAGGCTTGACGTATAAGTCGTTGAAGCTAATTCAATTCAAAGCTTTAAATGTAAATATGATAAAAGCAGGAGAAATGAATCACTGCATTAATCTACGAACGTTCAGAAGGCGGGGCTAGGAACCTTGCTCAACCCAGCAAGCACATCTAGCTGATTACATCTAGGTGAGTACACATCCACAAAACAAGCCCCATGAACGTTGAAGTGGTCCTAATGTGTACACATTGCTAAATGATTTAGAGACGTAACTCGAAATTAGACCTGGAGGCGTCGCTTCCCACTTGTATGTTATTAATACGTAATGAACTAAATATAGCCTAAGTTGTCTATCTAATTTATCTAAAATATCTAATTTAACTTAACGTTAATTGGAAAAATTCTGATAAAATCTGAGAGCTTCATCTTCTCCCCTTGTGTACTGGGTGGCTCATGTGATCCACCACTACTACCAGGTGGAGGACACTGGTGATCCACCACTACTACCAGGTGGAGGACACTGGTGATCCACCACTACTACCAGGTGGAGGACACTGGTGATCCACCACTACTACCAGGTGGAGGACACTGGTGATCCACCACTACTACCAAGTGGAGGACACTAGTGATCCACCACTACTACCAGGTGGAGGACACTGGTGATCCACTACTACTACCAGGTGGAGGACACTGGTGATCCACCACTACTACCAGGTGGAGGACACTGGTGATCCACCACTACTACCAGGTGGAGGACACTAGTGATCCACCACTACCACAAGGTGGTGGACACTGGTGATGGATCACTTACCCTGATAGCGATCTCCTTGGCCCTGGCTCGCATCTCCTCGCGCAGGTTTCTGTCATCGATGAAATCTTGTACTGCCAGAAGATCCTGTGAAGACGACACATGATGACAACTTAATGGGCAGTAAGAACATGTATTAAAGGGAAACCCATTTTATACACACACATATAAGATCAGGAGAAAAACCAAGAGTTGACTGTGTATGGTGTGTGTGTGTGTCATTGTTGACTGTGTATGGTGTGTGTGTGTCATTGTTGACTGTGTATGGTGTGTGTGTGTCATTGTTGACTGTGTATGGTGTGTGTGTGTTATTGTTGACTGTGTATGGTGTGTGTGTGTCATTGTTGACTGTGTATGGTGTGTGTGTGTGTCATTGTTGACTGTGTATGGTGTGTGTGTGTGTGTGATTGTTGACTGTGTATGATGTGTGTGTGTCATTGTTGACTGTGTATGGTGTGTGTGTGTGTCATTGTTGACTGTGTATGGTGTATGTGTGTGTCATTGTTGACTGTGTATGGTGTGTGTGTGTCATTGTTGACTGTGTATGGTGTGTGTGTGTGTAATTGTTGACTGTGTATGGTGTGTGTGTGTGTGTGTCATTGTTGACTGTGTGTGGTGTGTGTGTGTGTCATTGTTGACTGTGTATGGTGTGTGTGTGTGTCATTGTTGACTGTGTATGGTGTGTGTGTGTGTGTCATTGTTGACTGTGTATGGTGTGTGTGTGTGTGTCATTGTTGACTGTGTATGGTGTGTGTGTGTCATTGTTGACTGTGTATGGTGTGTGTGTGTGTGTGATTGTTGACTGTGTATGGTGTGTGTGTGTCATTGTTGACTGTGTATGGTGTGTGTGTGTGTCATTGTTGACTGTGTATGGTGTGTGTGTGTGTCATTGTTGACTGTGTATGGTGTGTGTGTGTGTGTCATTGTTGACTGTGTATGGTGTGTGTGTGTCATTGTTGACTGTGTATGGTGTGTGTGTCATTGTTGACTGTGTATGGTGTGTGTGTGTCATTGTTGACTGTGTATGGTGTGTGTGTGTCATTGTTGACTGTGTATGGTGTGTGTGTGTCATTGTTGACTGTGTATGGTGTGTGTGTGTGTCATTGTTGACTGTGTATGGTGTGTGTGTGTGTCATTGTTGACTGTGTATGGTGTGTGTGTGTGTGTCATTGTTGACTGTGTATGGTGTGTGTGTGTGTGTCATTGTTGACTGTGTATGGTGTGTGTGTGTCATTGTTGACTGTGTATGGTGTGTGTGTGTCATTGTTGACTGTGTATGGTGTGTGTGTGTGTGTCATTGTTGACTGTGTATGGTGTGTGTGTGTGTGTCATTGTTGACTGTGTATGGTGTGTGTGTGTGTGTCATTGTTGACTGTGTATGGTGTGTGTGTGTGTCATTGTTGACTGTGAATGGTGTGTGTGTGTCATTGTTGACTGTGTATGATGAGTGTAACTGTGTCATTATGACTGTGTGTGACACGTGTGGAGACACCTGGCCTATACACCCGTCAACACACCTGCACTGCGAGGTAGGCCCAGAGTCGCTCCACATAGTTGTTCCTCATGGAAGGTGGCTCAGGGGTGGAGATCCTGGACACCCGGAACTGTACGGGGCCCGTCTTGCTGTGTCCGGCCACGATGGGGTGCACCTCCGTCGCCTCCTCCGCCAGCTGGCCTGCCACCACCACCTGCACAGACACCACACACATCACCTCGCCGCCACACTGGAGCCTGCAGGTCTAACAGGCTTCCTGTCTACGACAATGGAATACATTATATCCACCAACAATTCTGTCTTTATCTGAGCTAATATTCCAACCGTCTTAAGGGCTAATCATGCTCGTGCCACCTCTTGAGTGGCTTAATCCTCATCAATCAATTACCAACCGTCGAGTGAGTCTACGTTATGTTACCTGGGACCATGATAAATAACTCTCCAAACCTATTTACAAGCCAGTATTTACCCAGGTCTTTTGTAAAATCAAACTTTCGTAATTCGTGTCCATTGTTTCGTGTTGTATTTTGTGCTGATATGCTGAGCATCTTATTAATATCTCCTTTGTTATACCCTTTCATCCTTTGTATATTATATCACACTCTTCCGTATTTGTCGCCTCTCTTGACAATGTATTAAACTTTCTTAATGTGCACAATGCACTCACTTGAAGGTGGTATATCTGTGAGACAATATATGGGCTTGAACCCACAGCTCTGGACTGTCCAGGCTCATTATTGTTCAATCGGTAGTGCGTTGGCCTGGAGAGTCAGGGACAAGGGTTCGATCCCATCGTACGGCATCAATTATTTTATACTCTTCCTTTCTCAAGTGTTTCTCTGCGCTTAGTCTCATATATGACTGTCGTGTAGCTAACCCTTTCAACACCAGAATCATAGCATTAATATTGGCCTGTGTGTAGGAATAATATATTCTAGGCAAGGTCATGTCTGTGGTGAGGCTTAGAACTTATGTGAGCTGACCTGTCTAGGGTGTGCTGGCTCCAGAGGCAACCTCTCCACCTGTCCTCCTACAAAGAACGTTGCTTTTCGCTCGTAGGCGTTACATAAGGCCAAAAATTGTCGTACTAGAAAATGAAAGCTGCTGGCGAAAGTGACGTACTGTTCCGTTTTCTGTTTCGGGTCCTCTGACTTAGTCTGGTAGGTTAGGAGAGACCACTTTAAACTGACCATTTTCTTGACGTTGGGGAGAAGCTGCTCGCGGCCTCAGAGGTGATCAAGGGGAAGAGTGGGTGCCTCTGTGACCAGCACAACAGACTCACAGGTGTCCACTGGTGAGGCTAAACCCATACATATATTGACACAACTCAACTAAATCACATTCTCCACACAATGTATAAAACTCACACAAAAAATAACATTGTAGTTGATGATGTAGACGTAAAGTGAAGGCCTGGTGGAACATATAATTCAGTACATGTAAGTTAATGATAGTGGGTTGTTTTAAGCCTATGGCTCTCAAGAGGCAGTATGAATATATCCTCGGCTTCTTGTAATGTCTAGACACGTCATCTTGTTTTCCTCCGACCTTTCCTCACACTAATCCTCTGTGAATTCTTCTATTTACAGTTAAAGGTTTTCATTATCATATTTCTCAGTATTGACTTTGTATTGTATGAATACACACTCGCGCGCGGGTGTGTGTGTGTGTGTGTGTGCGTGTGCGCGCGTTCGTGGACGTAGGGTGGGAAAGGTGTACACGAACAAGGACGTACAGGGGTAGTGAAGGTATATCGGGAGCGGAAAACTTCCACAAAGCCTCAGTAACTGTGGCTTAGAGAGACACACTCATCTGGAATGATGTAGCTACGGTATTGGCTGGCGAGCGCTGCTCTTCATGTCAGCAATATTATCCCACATGCAGGAGGATGTGGGATAATAAAACGCACTTTCCGCGTCATCTGTGAAGGACGCGGAAAGTGCGCAATTCTCGCATCATCATTAAGTGTTGGCGTGTAATGTGAGGCAGCGAATATTCTGCCTCTCCCAGCTGACACTTTCAGTACTTTCCTGGTGAAGTGCTTCTAACAGGAAAATATATACCCTCTTTTGTCTTTATTGTTACATTTTCTTGCCCGTACTTCTCCCTCTTGCCTCTTCCTCTTGTCTCTCCCTCCTGCCTCTCCCCTTCCTCCCTCTCCATCTTCTCCCAACTATCACTCCCCCCCAGCTCTTCCTTCTGACTCTCCACCACCTCTCCCTCCCAGCCGCCCCTACCCCCAGAAGCACTCTGACCTCGTCACCGGAGTAGTAGGTGCTGTGGCCGTGCCTGACGACGGAGTTCGGGTCAACCTCGTCCTCCGGGTAGACAATGTCCACGTCGGTCATGAGAGGCGTGGAGATCTGCTTGTAGAAGTCCTGCAGCTGCTGGGCGGGACGCTCCTTCTCGTCGATCAT